ATACATGAAGCTATGGGCAAATTATCTTTTGGAACTTTAATGTTTTGTGATTTTAGGATGCTTGAACTTGAATTTTTTGTAAAAACTTTGAATGTTTTGTAATTTGTATGGAGATTCTTTTTATTTTCAAGTACTTCAAAGTAGCAAGTATATGATTTTGGCAAGTACCAAGCCGAGTCAAGTTACTTGCAAGTCACATGATTTTGGACAAGTACTTGATTGAGCAAGTACTTGCTTCGAACGAGTCAAGTATCAAGCCGGAATTTTTGTTACTTGAACAAGCCAAGCCGAGTCACAAGTACTTGAAAATTGGCAAATACTCGGCTTGTGCCCAGGCCTAGAATGAGCCTTAGTCTTGAGAGAAAGAGGTTGAATATAAGTATTTTAGCCAAAAGATCATATCCATTTTATAGATTTTTACATGTCCGGGCTTGGATACCGGATTCCGCGTTCTTGGTCAGGTCTAGATTTCCAGGTTTGACCCAATAGGTTCAAACCCAAACTCCTCTACGACCTTTATCGAAGGATAAGCTCCACCAATAAAGTAAACTGTTCTAAACGAGCCGTGGGATACGTGGCATCAAATGATTCACTTAACCCAAAGGGACTTATGTTAGCCCAATAGACCTTATTAACAAAAAACTACGACGCTTTTAGGGTAATCATGCAATGCCAGAAATGCAAAAATGCACATTATTATATCACAATAAACTTAGCACTACTATGTACATTGTGTTAGCAGTCAAATCTTTATCAACGAAAAACAAAATTTGTTGTATACAATGACAAAACTACAATCAACGCGATTATAATTTCGCATATAAGTGTACCTTATTAGCTAAGTATGTATTGCGTTTTGGTTGCACGTTGAGTGTGGGATTTTGGTGTTAAACACGTGGAAGTATTCTTACTTACATATAAGTATGTTGAAAATAGGATAAATACTTAGTGAAAATTATTGTGTAAAGTCTCAAGTTTAAGGTCGGTGGAACTTAGTTCAGGATGAGACTGTGTTTTAGTTGTGAGTTATTGAGGTTATTATGCATGTTCTCTTGTAGATTCATGGGGAACTTTTGTTTTTTCTTTTTGTTAAAGTTTTTTAAAATGGAACTTTTGGTTTTGTTAGATTA